GTCCGTGTGGCTGGGCATGCAGCAGGGGCGCAATAAATAGAGTGGACAAGTTCTCTGATGTCTCCTTCCCGCCTGTGCTCACGCCGTTCCTGCTGCCAGGTGTACTTTCCTCCTGGCCAGCGGCTGCACCCACAGCCAACTCCCCCGCCTCCCACGGGGCCTGATTCTCTCCCTGTGTCCCCCCCAAAGCCCAGCTTTGAACAAAGCCCTTCCCTGCGCCCTAGAGCTGAAGTGAGGGCAACGCCTCCTGCTGGAAGCCTTCCTTGATTGTCTGGGCCTGTCCAGGCCTTTGCACTCTCATGTGTCGCATGACTGCCTTGCTGGCTGACCCTGGGTGCCCACTTGGGACTGTTCCTCCTAGAGGAAGCTCTGCAAACAAAAGGGATCTGAATCTCCCGGGAAGAGCACAGACTTGGGAGTCAGGTCTGGGTTCAAATCCAGAGCCGAGCCGCAGCTGCCTCTTCTGAGCCATTGGGACCCGAGGTTGCCACCGTTTACCGCCTGACAGGACGCCTGGCGGGGTGGCCCTGTGCACTGGGGGTGTGGCTGGTCCAAATGGAGGCGTGCTGTGAATGCGTACAAGACACTCCGGATTCCAAGACTCAACACAAAAAAGAATGTAAAATGTCTTGTTAGAATTCTTGTTACATGTTGAAATGATAATTTTTTGATATCATGGGTTAAAGAAAATACATTATTAAGATTAATTTCACCAGGTTTTTTCTTACTCTGTCTCACGTGACTGCCAGAGAATGGAATATTCCCGAGGAGCCTGGCACGCAGCATGGCTCCCGTTCTGTTTCCGCTGGGCAGCGCCGCCAGTGGTCGCATCAGCCTCCAGGCTCCGGTCTGCCTGGGTTGGCGGGGCCTGGGGCCGGGCCCACTGACCCAGCACTGCCCGCTCCGAGTCTTGCTTCCTGCAGGAGTGAGGGGAGCTTGTGGCCCCACGTCAGGGTGGGGTCTGTGCCCAGGGAGCCTGCGCCCCTCCCCAGTTCACCCTGGCAGAGCCTCCGCCCAGCACAGCCCACTCTGCCCTTCCTGCCACCAAGGGACCCAAACAAACGTCCCCATGCCCCTGCAGCCAGGCGTGGCCCCCAGCTGACCCATGTGTCTGTGTGTGTGAGGGTGCAATGTTGAGCCCACAGTCTGCACCCTGCCTGGCTCTGCCGACCTGGGCTGAGCAGGGCCCCGCCCGCCCACTGTGGTGGGGGAATGGTGAGTGCCCTGGTTTCCGTGGCTCAGGCAATGGCACTTGGAGGAGGTCACGGTCCTGTGCTCCTCACCGTCTCTTGCCAGCGGGGTTGCACTGCTTTGTCACCTCGGATCCAGTGAGGGGCCTCACCGCTCTCCTCCATGCCCACTTTGCAAAGGCACTGGGCAGAGGGACAGGCATCAAGGCAGAACCCGGTGTCCCGGGCAAAGGGCTCACTCTGATCGCCTCCTGGCCGCCCCTGAGGACCCAGCTTCTCCAGGGCCCCGCCGGGCTCTGCTCAAGTTGTCAAGCTGGCATCAGAGAAGGCTGTAAGGGCTGGGCCTGTCCCAGGACACACGGGGTGAGGCCCCCTTGGCACCTGCGCCTCTGCACCACTGCCCACCCATCTGTTCATTCATGCACCCATTCATTCATTCACAAAGTTCTTACTGCACATCTGCCCTCGGCCAGGCCAGTTCTGGTGGCTGGGGATCAATCAATGGACAAGACAGGCAGCGTCCCTTGGGTTCCGGAAGGGCGGGCAGACAATAAACACACAATAAGTATATTCGATATGCCGCTACCTACAAGTGGCTATTTTCATTGATGTTTAAATGAGTTAAAATGAAATAGAATTAAAAGCTCAGGTCCTCAGTCCCATTGCAAGTGCTCAGCAGACACAGGTGGCTGCTGCCTCAGCTCAGATGTCCACCCTTGTGCTCATCCCAGAGCGTTCTGTGGCCGTGCTGACCGTGTTGGAAGGTGAGGGTGGCAGCACAAGCCCCACTGAAGAGGCGAAGTCTGAGCAGAGTCCTGGAGCAGGGGCAGGAGGGAGCCATGTGGGAACCTAGGGGGAGAGTGTGCCAGGTGGAGGGAGCAGTGAGTGCCACGGTCCTGAGGTCAGGTCTCCACTGGGATGCTCTAGGACCAGCAAGGAGGTGGGACTAGGGAGCCGAGTCCCAGCTGACCCCAGAGCCAAGCAGCCCGACAAGGAGGGCCTCGCCTGCCTCCTGCACCTGGGCTTTTCTCTGGGCAAAAGGACAGCACAGGAAGTTTTGGGTAGAGAAGGGACAGGACAGGCTTGTTTGGCCCACATGCACCTGGCTGCCGTATTGAGACTAGATGGTGGAGGAGGCAGTGTGGAGGATGACAGTGAGGTGGTCCCCGCACTGTTCCAGGTGACAGGCGATGGCGGCTGGGCCCCATGGGGAGAAAGGACTGGGTTCCAGAATCCTTGGCAGGTGGCACACTCAGGGTCTGCTGGGCGGGGTGCTGGAGAGGGAGAGAGGAGTGGGGGAGCCAAGGATGCCCAGGTGTGGGGTGGGGTGGGGTGGGGTGCGGTCCCTGCCCTCCAGGAGCTGGGATTTGCCTCCTGCCCAGTGGGGGCAGGATAGGCCCAGGCCCTGGCTGGCTGTGTGAAGGCCCCCTATGCACACCCACACACACATAAACACATGCACCCACACACATATACACATGCACACACACATGCACACACATACACATGCACACACACATGCACACATACACATGCACACACATACACACATGCACACACATATACACATGCACACACATATACACATGCACACACACACACGCACACACATATACACACGCACACACATATACACATGCACACACACATAATCACATGCACACACACATATACACACGCACACACACATATACACATGCACGCATACATATACACATGCACACATACACATGCACACATACATGCACACATACACATGCACACACATACACACATGCACACACATACACACATGCACACACATATACACACATACACACACATACACACATGCACACACACATATACACATACACACACACATATACACATGCACACACATGCACACACACATGCACACACATATACACATGCACACACATACACACATGCACACACATACACATGCACACACATACACACATGCACACACATATACACACATACACATGCACACACATATACACATGCACACACATATACACATGCACACACACACACGCACACACATATACACACGCACACACATATACACACATGCACACATATACACATGCACACACACATAATCACATGCACACACACATATACACACGCACACACATATACACATGCACGCACACATACACACGCACACACACATATACACATGCACACATACACATGCACACACATATACACACGCACACACATACACACGCACACACACATATACACATGCACACATACACACGCACACACACATATACACACGCACACACATATATACATGCACACACACATACACGCACACACATATACACATGCACACATATACACACATATACACATGCACACACATATACACACATATGCACACACATATACACACATATGCACACACATATACACACGCACACACACAGGCAGGCAGGCTCAGCTCCAGCAGCTCAGACTTGCTCTTACCAAGCAAGCTCTGGGGGCCTGAGAGGCCCTGGCCCTTCCAAACAGCCCAGGACATGGGGAGCCCTCGGGAGACGCTGTGGAAACCTCTGACCTCGGGGCTCAGGGGTGCTTCATTCTCCGGAGCCCAGGTACCTGCTGCTCAGATGAGGCTGCACACGGAACCCCTGAGCAGAGCAGGAAGGGCAGAGCCCCCAGGGGTGCTCCCCACTCCCAGCGCCCAGCACCCAGAGCCCTCAGGCTCTCAGGGGAAGGAGACGAGGCAGGGACCCCCTCCCCCCAGCCCAGGACTGCCTCGTCCTCCTCTCCTGAGCTGAGCTGAGCAGGGAGAGAAGGGGCAGGAAGGACCCCCGGGCCTGGGGTCAGCATGTTGCTGCTCTGGGCAGGGCCACCAGGTTGCGAAGGGAGGAGTGGGGAGGTGGGGCTGAGAGCAGTCCCTGGGTGAGCCAACCTGCCTGCTGTCCCCCCCCCCCAGCTGTTTCCGGGGGAGACAGTCTCCCTCTGCTGGGAGGGTGGGGACGGAGACAGAGCAAGGTAGGGCGGGGCCGGGCCCATAGTGTGTGTGGTGTGTGTGGGGGGGACTTGTTTTCTTGGTCACCTGGCGGCATGGTGGGGACAAGTGGGTGAGGCAGGGCTCCTTTGGGGATACTGGAGACACCTGCCCTGGGAGTTGGGGAAAGCCTGGGTGCCCTGAGTGGACAGGGAACTCTCCACTCCACCCCACTCACCTGGAGCGCCCATCCACGCAGGAGCTCTGTGCTCCTGTCCCAGAACTGCCACAGGTGGTGGACTGGTGGGTGGTGGGGGCCTACTCACAGGTCAGACCGGAAATTGATGGGGCAGGAGGCCCTGCAGCCCCACCTGGCGCCTGAGTCCTCCACTGGGTATGTCGGGAGGGCTCTGGGCCAAGATGCCTCCAGCTGCTGTGTCCTGGGGCTGAGAATAACCTAGAGGTGGGGGTGGGGCGCTGAGGGGGCAGTGACTGGAAGAATCCAGACGAATTGATGAAACTGGCAGCCCCCTCCCTGGCCACCTGGCTTCCATGCCAATCCAGCCGCCTCCGCTCCAGCATCCCCTGCAGAGGCCCGGCTGTTGGTGTGGCACTGGGGCCCGGGATCTCCTGCCAGCTGCCTCTCTGCCACAGGCCCTCTCCTGGCTTCTCACCAGCTCCCCAGGTGCCCGCCTGGAGCCAGGCCACCCCGCCCATCCTGCCCCTCCCTCCAGCCCACTGCTCGCAGCGCCCCCTCCCCCTGCCCCCCTGGCCAGAGCTCTGCACGGGGATCCTTCTGTTCCCGGGCCCTGGCCATGACTCCTCTGTCCTTCCCACAGCCCTGTTCACAGAGACGCCCCATGACATGACGGCGCGGACGGGTGAGGACGTGGAGCTGGCCTGCTCGTTCCGCGGCAGCGGCTCCCCCTCCTACTCGCTGGAGATCCAGTGGTGGTACGTGCGGAGCCATCGGGACTGGACCGACAAGCAGGCCTGGGCCTCCAACCAGGTACGCCCCTGGGAGATGCCGAGGGGCTGGGGGAGTGCTGGCCCGGGGTGTCTCTGCCCCTCCATCTGTCCTCTGCGGCCCCTGCGGCCCCCATTCCCTCTTCCTCCTGGGGTGAGGGGTTCAGGTGATGATGGGGAATAAGGCACCACCCTGAGTGGAGGCTGAGCTCCTGCAACACTGCAGGAATGGCCTTCCCCTTGGGGATACGGGTGGGGAAACTGAGGCCGGAGGGGCAGAAGCGGGCTCTAGGCTACGCGGCAGCATGGGTCTCGGGACTCACTTTCCCCAACCCGTAAGCTGCACGGACAGTGGTTTCGTACAGGGCCCTGAAGATAAGGGCAACGTGGTTGCTCAGTTCATTCCCAAGTTCACTCACAAATAGGCCCCCAGCACCCCAGCCGCTGCACCGGTGCTCAGCTCTCCACGTGCACCTGCTCACGTGGACACACCTGCTACCACGGATGCTGCGTGTGCCCTGCCTGCCCGCCACGCCCCTGCCCACAACTCCGCCGCCTGAGGGTTTCTCCACACAGCAGTGTCTGCTGGCCAGCAGGGCAGGTGGGAGGAACCGGGGAGCAGCCCCCAACCCCACACAGACAAGGTCGGAGGATAAACACCCCAGCTCCCGGTCCCTCTGCTGGCAAAATGGAAGAGTGCTCCGCTCTTTCTCCCAGCAGTGCCCAGCGCGGAGTGGGACTGAGCTGCACCTGCCTGCAGTGCTAACTGCTGGGAAGCAAAGACCTCCCAGGACTCGCATTTCCCCGCTCCTGTTTCCTGGAATCACCTCCCAGATAACCCATTTGCTCCTGAATCGTTGCCTCAAAGTCGGGTTTTGGGGACTCCATCTAAGACGCGGGCGTTTGTACACACGGGACACGCCTGTGCCCTGGCAATCTATGAACACGGGGAGTTGCACACCTCCATATGCACGCAGCAGCCGGCTCCCCCATTCCCCTGCCTCCTGTGCACAAGGACACAGCAGCCTGTCTGGCTCTTGGGGGTAGCCAGCCAGCCACGCACAGCCTCAGAGACTTCCAACGGCTGGAGAAAGAGTTGCAGGTGTTTGTGATTGGATGACGCCAACGTCCGCTTGCAAGGGCGTGGTACGTGGGCAGGGTTCCCACGGCATCTGCCCCAAACACACGTTCACATGTGCTTGTGTGAATACCGGATAGCACGAACATTCACAGACAGACACTCCTAGAACACACCCAGCAGGCTCTTACCTTTTCTCCTGTTCCCGTAAGGCAGCTCAAGGCGTAGCAGGAGCAGGTGGTTTTCCAGGGATCTCTTTTAGTCTTGTGCTCTGACCCTGTCCCCACCCCCACCATCCTCTGAGTGGACACAGAGAGCTGAGGGGCCCAAGCCCAGACCACCCCCCTCCTTCCCGCCTCACCCATCACATCTGTAGTTGGAGTCTCAGCTCCTGCCAGGTCCCCCCACCCCACCCCCACCCTGCTAACACTTTGTCTCTCTCTGCTCTCTCTGCCCCTCCCGCTCCCACCAGCTAAAGGCATCTCAGCAGGAAGACGCAGCACAGGACGCCACCAAGATAAGTGTGAGTTTTGATAATGACTGCTTGCCTGGGCTCTAATGGAGGATGCAGCTGTCACTTAAAAAAATTGGTTTTGGTCCAGGTCAGCAGGCAACTTGGGCCAGAAGACGGAGGAGGAGAAAAGGGGGAGGGGCAAATGGTCTGGCTCTGTGTTTTAAAAGCCAGAGATTTTTCAAGTTCATTGAATGACAGGCGCAAAGAATGACAGAGGGAGGGAAGACGCGTTCCCTGCTGCCGGCCGAGGCTGTGTGCGCCCCAGCGTGTCCTGCCTCTTGTGCGGCATTTTTTATTTGGGGAAGGAACAAAATCAGTGGGGCTGATCCAGCTTTTTCCGGCTCATCATGGCTGACTGCTCTGGCGTCTCAGGGTCGCTCTGGTGACCTGGCTGCAGGGTGGGGCCTTCAGGACTACCTGGACCTTTGGGTGCGTGACTCCTGGAAGGCCGAGCAGTCACCCATTCTCCAGGTGGGGCACGAGGGGATTGGGGGTTCGAAGCCTTGCCAGAGGTCACCCCAAGGGTGAAGGGTGTTGCTGAGGTCTTGGTCTCTGGCCTACTGCTGGGGCCCAGCAGTGCTCGGGGGTGATGGTTTTGGGGGGGTTGAACACCCAAAGCCGGGCCTATGAGAGGCAGGCAGGACTGAGAAAGGAGGCAATGGTGGAGGGAAGACGGAGGAGAGGGGGCCGACCTGGGGATAGTCATGGCCCGGGGAGCAGGCTGGACTTGTGCGTGGGGCTGATGTCGGGAGCTGCAGCAACTCCCTGGGAAAACGCGGGTGCCCTTGGGGGCACAGATGTACACGTGTTAGAGGATGGGGCGGGGGGGGGGTGACCTCTCCAAATTTGCTTTTCTCTGCTTGGTTCTTGCACAGATTTTTCAAGTCTTTGTGGGTGAACTCATGATGCCATGGCCAGTTAGACATAGAGAAACCAAACGAGAGGTCATGGTGTAGAGAGTGGGCACAGGGGGACGTGGGGGCGAAGGGCCAAGGTAGGGCTGCTCTGGCCACGCCAGCAAGAGGAGGGCAAGCACCTGCCTTCAGAGCGCCCTGGGCGCTGCCTGGCCCGGATCAGGTGGGGTCTGGAAACTCAAGCCATTTCCAGCTCCAGCTCCCGCCAGTCCACTCCACACCGCTATGCTTTGCCGAGCGCAGGCCACGTCTGGGGCCCCACCTGTAAGAATCCACACCTCCCCCTTCCTCCCGACCGTCTCCTGTGATTTTGATGGGGGTTAAGGAGCAGCTCAGGAAAGGAGGGGACAATCTAATTGACTTGGAGGATTTGAAGTTGAGGCTTCTGGGCCCCACTTGAGGGGAAACGCGCCCATGCTAATTAGTTAAAGAAACCAATGGGCTAGGCATGACTGCGTCGGCACTCCCCCACGCGGTACATTCCCTCTCCAGCCAGCAGGGGCGCTGCGGGGGCGGGGTAGGAAATGCACAGTCCAAGGCCCAGCTGCTTCTGCAGACAGCAGGACACAAAGGACTGCTCTTAAAGACACAGACGCAGAATCGGCCAACATCTGTGAGCAGAGGCACACCTGGGTCCGGCAGTCTGAGAGAGGGCCCAGACTTCTCTCCGTGGCATTTTCCTTCTGTCACACCCACTCATTTCATCCCAAACACCTCTACAGGAGGGGCCGAACCATCGTCCATTTTAGAGGTGAGGCAGCCACGGCCAGCGCCACTGCCCTGTCCTTGCCAACCTTGGCGGCCTTTCGGCTTCCCGGTCCTTCCTGCTCCCAGGCCTCTGCACAGGCCAGGCCCTCTGCACCAGAACCGGTCAGAACCGGCTCCCCTCTCTCTTCCTGCAGAGCTCGGCTCAGGGAAGCCACCCGGGACCTGTGCTTGGCCAGTGCCCCTTGCTTCTCCCCGCCGGCTCTGTTTCCGTCTGTGGTTACCCATCTGTGAGTCTGCTTCATGTCTGTCTTCCCCCAAGGTGGGGAGCCGGGGAGCTGGGACTGTGCTTGGTTCACTGTTGCATTTCCAGGGCCCAGCACAGAGCCTGGCAAAAAGTGGGTGCCCAGTAAATATTTATCAAGTGACTTTCACACACACATAGACCCAGACCACATCACACACATACACTCACACCACGTCACATACACTGTGATGCGGAGCCCATGCATGCACATGTATGTGCACAGGTATGTATATATATGTGCACACACCTGTACATGCATGTACACAAGGTCCCAGCTAGGGACCTTGGGACCTGAGGGATCCAGCTTGTGTATCCACAGGGGCTCATTGAGTAGGCAGGGATCCAGGCCAAATATTCCCATGTCTTTTTTTTTTTTTTAAGATTTATTTATTTATTTGAAAGGCAGACTTACAGAGAGGCAGAGATCTTCCATCCGCTGGTTCACTCCCCAGATGGCTGAAACGGCGAGAGCAGGGATGATCCAAAGCCAGGAGCCAGGAGCCAGAAGCTTCTTCCTGGTCTCCCATGCAGGTACAGGGCCCAAGCACTTGGGCCATCGTCCACTGCCTTCCCAGGCCACAGCAGAGAGCTGGATGGGAAGTGGAGCAGCGCTCCTGTGTGGGATGCCAGTGTCACAAGCGGCAGGCAGCGTAACCAGCTGCACCGCTGTGCCACAGCGTCAGCCCCTGGAAGCTTTTCTTTGACATCTGACTGAAGTCTTTTGAGCTGGAATTTGGGTTAATTTCCCTTTAATCCATTTCCAAGTGGAGATGATCCCCGAAGGCCCGATTTTAAGATAAGGTGAGGATTTCCACACCCGCTCCCCTCCCTGGGGGCTCCATCTCCACCCAGCTGGTGGCTGGGTTCACCCTAAACAGGAGACACATTGGGAGGGTCAAGGTCACACACAGTCCAGTGTGCAAGGTGGGCATTAATCCAGTGGTCACCATGATAAATAGAAATATGGCAACTGTGACCATCAAAATGAGAGCTGCCCTGGTCTCTGAGAGCTGCTAAGAGAGGACTCAAGCTAGCCTGGGGGCCAGGCGGGCTTCCTGGAGGAGGTGCCATCTGCAGCAAGAGCACTGAGTGTGGGGGAGCTGGTGAGGGGTCTGTAGAGAGTCAGGGGTGTTTTGATGAGCTGTCTGTCGCAGAGGAACAGCCAGGAAAGGGCCAGAGTGGCTTTGGGAGGAGGCTGGGGTCACTGCCTGGACAAGAGAGGCCAGAACCCTGCCTGGGCCAGTGTGGGGAGTCTAGATTCTGCAGACAAGAGGAAGGGGCCCAAGGACGTTCTGAGCAAGACCCGTGGCATTCTGGGACGGGCTACGCCGGAGAGGAAGGAAAACAGGGACAGTGACTGGGCAAGGTGTGGCCGGGCAGGTTAGGCCATCTGGGACCCAGGTCTGGAGAGCCCTGCCTTGGTGGGGAGGGGTGGAGCACCCCCCAGGGAGCTGCAGGGCAGGGACCATGTGACCCCTGCTCCCGGGGCTGCATCTCAGCCAGGAGGCCAGGATGGGCACAGGTGGGCATGGCTGGGAGGAAAGAGCTGGGCCTAGGGGTGTCCCTGCTGCGCCTGGAAGGGTCTGAGCCAGGGGTGGGGGTGGGGTGAGCGGGAGGAGGCCGAGCCTGGTCGTGGTGAGGACTTGGCCTTGTCTCTTTCAGCGTAATTAGGTGCTTAATTGCACCGCGAAGGCCTGTCGATGCTGAGCGCAGGTGATGATGATTTAGCGCCAGGCCGCCCCGGGGCTCCCTCCCCGGCCTCTCCAGCCGCACTGCAGGGCTGGGCCAGGGCTTGCCATGCAGCCTGTGAACGCTGAGACCCGGCAGGCTGCTCCTGCCGCCCACCGTGGGGGCTGGGAAGGCAGGCCTGGAGTTTCTGCCCACCGTGGCGAAGGCCTGGTGTTTGTCACCAGCTGAGTGGCCGTGGGAAAATCCTGTCACCTCTCTGAGCCTCCGCCTCTGCACCCACCCCATGGGGGGCCTAGCAGCGTCCGCCCAACATCGCTGGGTGAGCGGAGCCCCAGTGACACCCGCATCAGCCCCGCTCCTGCTGGCTTAGGGTTGATTGATTGCCCTCTGCAGATGGGGGCTGGAGGAGACTGTCACCTTGTGTCCTTGTCCTCCATGCGGTTTCTCCGTTAGACTGGTGGGCATTGCTGGGGTCCACAGCCGGCCCTAGGCACTCGGGAAACTTTGGTTGAATGAATGGGTGAATGCAGCCAGAGACAGCCAAAGCCGGGGCACAGGAGATGGGGGGGAGGGGGGCGGCAATGCCAGCCTCCAGCGCCTGCTCCAGGCTCCCTGTCCCCTCCTCCTCTCTGAGGGGGAGGAGCCCTTATTTCTGAAGCCACCTGTGTCTGCTGGGAGGGAGGGGGTCCCGGGCTCAGTGGCCCCCTCCCCGCGAGCCGCTGCACATTATTACTCCATTAGCACCTTGTAGGGCTGACACATGAAGGATAATTAATATCCGTGAGGGAAGCAGATGTGGCGGTGATTCGCTCCCGCTGCGCACTTGCCGCGGCATCTCCCGCCTCCCCGGCAGGACCGCGGGGCAGCTCCGCACCCTTGCTCCGAGGTGATGGAGTTGGCAGGCGGGAAGGGGTGGGCTGCAGCCAGGCCTGGCGCTGGGGAGGGGCTACCGCGTTCACGACCCCTACCAAGAGAGGCTGGTGGCACTGGGACATTCTGCCCATGGCCCACCTTGGTACCTCTTGCTGTACCCATAAGCCCCTGTTTTGCCGCCACTTGGGAGACAAGGATCAGCATGGCAGGCTTGGTGTGCGAGAGAATGGGCCAGGCTCCCTCTGCTGCTCACCTATCCAATCCCCAGCGAGAGCCTTAGGACCCCTGCTGAGGCCCGGGCAGCTCTGTGGGCCTGTCTCAGCGTTTGGAGTTTGAGTGCCCACCCCTGGCTGGGTGGCTTTTCCTTCTGGAGTCTCAGTGTCACCGTCTGTAAAGTGGGTATCCTCATGTGTCTGTGACCCGTGACGAGAAAGCGTCTGCCGCTGGAGAAAGAAGGAAGTGAGGCGAGTGTGATCCTTGACGCCTGTCGGTTGTGGTTTACCGGGCGCTGAGCTCTGTGCAACGACATGGATCCGGTCCCTGCTCTCGCGGAGCTTACGGTTTAGCGAGGGGGAGAAACCCAAACCAAGTCAACAGACGGATGGCTCGAAACGCTCCGCCAGCAGGCAATAGACAGGGAGTTGAGATCATGAGTGGGCGTCAGCAGGGGAAGACGGGGACGAGCCCCCGGGCAGCCCCTGGCAGCCTGAGCAGAGGCCATGGGGTCAGAAGAGCGCCACACCAGGGAGCTGATGACGAGCCGGCCGGGGGAGCCCGGGCAGCCTGGTGAGCCAACTGGCGGTCCTGCTGGGCCTGGCAGGCAGGCTCGGAAACGTGTCTGCAGACTGACAGCGCCCTCCCGCAGCCCCTGCTCCCCTCATCCCCGCCCTCGCGTGGGGCAGGGGGACCAGCAGGGCTGTCCCACCTGGCCCAAAGCTGGGCCTCCTGCTCTGGGTGTTGGGGGCCGCAGGAGCAGGAAAGCCGGCGGCCCTGCCAGTAGAGTGTGGGGCTGGGAGCCTGTAGAGCCAGAGGGCGGGAGGATCCTGGGATGGGCTTGATCTCTGCTCTCTGCGGGAGGTGGGGTCGGGCGTCTCTAGGGAGGGTGGGCACCCCTTCCTCCTGCATCCCTGCTTATTTCATTTTTAAACATTTTATTGCTTTGAAAGGCAGACAGAGAGGAGAGGCGGCCGGGGGCTGGGGAGGGTCTTCCATCCACTGGTTCCCTCCCTAAATGTCCACCAGAGCCGGCCTGGGCCGGGCTGAAGCCAGGAGCCCAGAACTCCGTCCTCTCCTCCCGGTGTTTCAACTCTGCACACAGCAGAGACTTTTTATGGGCGGAGTTTTGCCAGGAGGTTTTTTGACAGCTGCACGGGGGTCCCGGACAAGGTCCTGTTCTCAGGCAGCTTCCCCTTTGCTGTGTGACTGAGGCTCATGCAGACATTCAGGTGTGCACCCTAGAGGCATGGCCCCGGGCCCACAGGACCCCACACTGCCCAGGCGGACAGGTCATGGTTTTTCTGTTGCTCCCAGGTGGTCAAGGTCGTGGGCAGCAACATCTCGCACAAGCTGCGCCTGTCCCGGGTGAAGCCCACGGACGAAGGCACCTATGAGTGCCGGGTCATCGACTTCAGTGATGGCAAGGCCCGGCACCACAAGGTCAAGGCATACCTGCGGGTGCAGCCGGGAGAGAACTCGGTCTTGCACCTGCCCGAAGCCCCTCCGGCCGCGCCTGCCCCACCGCCCCCCAAGCCGGGCAAGGAGCTGAGGAAGCGCTCGGTGGACCAGGAGGCCTGCAGCCTCTAGCCTGACACCCGGCTGGCCCTGCTGGACCGTGGGGACAGGACTGCCTGCGGCCAGCCAGCCGCCTCCCCAGCCCCCAGCCCGCCCTCTGCCCACCACCCTTGCTCAGCATGTAAGCCCCCCACCCCCACCCTTCACACCCCTGCAGTGACCCGGCTCAGCTGCGAGAAGGTGGCCCTGGGCTCCAGGGGACAGCCGCCCTGAGTGCTGGGGCGGGGACCCTGCGGAGCCCAGGCTGCCCCCCTTTCTGTCGCCAGCTTCCGTGGAGTCTGGTGTTTTGCTTTGCCTGCTTGTCCCCCATCCTGTCCTGAGCAGGGGCCTCCCAGCCACGCTTCCTCCTTCCTGCCATCTCCCTCTTGGACCTGGGAGTGACCCCTCCCCAGTTTGGACTTGAATCTTCCAAGCAGAACTAGGGCCCCTCCCCTGGCGGAGAGCTGGGAATGGTGGCCCCTTAGCAGGGTCACTCCCAGGGGCCCTGGGAGGAGAGCCTGCCGGGGTGTCCTGCTCGGCCCCCTACAGCTCACTCAGAACCCTCCCCCCAGGGAGGGGGAACCAGGCATCTTTGACCCCCGGCTCCATGCAGAGATTTGCACCAGCAGGACCCCTGGGAGGGTCTTTGAGGCTCCATTGGGAGCCCCCCTCTGCCAGCCCCCAACGTCCCAGCCCCTCCTGGGACCCATGCCAAGCCCAGCCGAGGGCCTGGGGCTGTTGGGAGCCAAGAGCTCCTCCTCCAACAGTCCCCTCCGTTCCCTGTGGGGAACACCTACCCCTACTGATTTGTAAATATTTCTACTGGGCTCCGACCTCGGGCTGCCCCCCGCGGTGGAGTGGGGCATGGGGGAGGGGGCTGTGCCTAGGGGTGAGTGGGTGTCCCTGTATAAATGATCCAATTGTGACTACCAGCCAACCTGAATAAAGCGGTTTCAACACCCTCCGGGCAGTGTTTTCCTGGGGTGTGGCAGGGCCAGGCAGGGTGGGGGAGGCCTTGGCTCATCCAGCACAGGTTTCACCAGCCTGGCACCTGCGCCCAAGAGTTCGTGAGGGCGCAGGGAGAGGGGCACGAGCAAAGCGGCTCTGTCCAGCTCCAACCCACTCACCAGGCACTTGGAGTCTCTGCTGGCTCTGAAAGCATTGCATGTGCAGAAGAGCGTGGAAAGCAGGCTTGCGGTTCTGTGAGCCATCAGAAAACCAGCACCCATGTGGCCACCACCTACCAAGCATAGCACCCAGGACAGAAAGCCCAGCCCCATGTCTTCCTGGTCATATCCCACCCTAGGAGGCAACCACATCCTGACTGTTAAGGTAAGCATCTCCTTACTTGGAAAGATGCAGATGGGGCCAGCGCTGTAGCATAGCAGGTAAAGCCGCTGCCTGCAGTGCCGGCATCCCATATGGGTGACGGTTCTCGTCCCGGCTGCTCTTCTTCCGATTCAGCTCTCTGCTATGGCCTGGGAAAGCAGTAGAAGATGGTCCAAGTCCTTGGGCCCCTGCACCCATGTAGAAGACCCAGAAGAAGCTCCTGGATCCTGGCTTTGGATCAGTACAACTTCGGCCGTTGTGGCCAACTGGGGAGTGAACCAGTGGATGGAAGACCTCTCTCTCTCTCTCTGCCTCTCCTCCTTGCTCTGTGTAATTCTGGCTTTCAAATAAATAAATCTTTTTTAAAAAAGCAAAAGATACAGATAATTTCTAAAGATTGTGTTTTAAGATTTTATTGATTTGAATGAGAGACAGAGAAAGAGAACAAGATCTTCCATCCACTGATTCACTCTCCCAATGGCCGCGATGGCCAGGCCAGGGCCAGGCAGAAGCCAGGAGCCAGGAGTTTTTTCCAGGTCTCCCACGTGGGTGCAGGGGCCCAAGGACTTGGGCCGTCCTCCACTGCTTTCCCAGGCCATAGCAGAGAGCTGGATTGGAAGCAGAGCAGCCAAGGCTCGAACTGGAGCTCAGATATGGGATGCCGGCACTGCATGTGACTGTTTAACCCACTGTGCCACAATGCAGGACCCTAAAAATTATTTTTATTTATTTATTTCAATGACAGGGAGAGGAAGAGAGAGATTGCCTATCTACTTGTTCACTCCTCAAAAATGTCTCCGGCAGCTGAGGCTGGGTCAGGAGGAATCCGGGAGCCGGGAACTCACTCTGGGTCTCCCATGTGAGTGCAGGGACCCAAGCATTTGAGTACAAGGATAAACATCACAGCTGCCTCCCAGGCTGCACATTAGCAGGAAACTGGAACAGAGCAGAGCCAGGATTCAGACTCCGATACTCCAATACGGGATGCAGGTGCCCCAAATGGCATCTTAACCACTACCCCAAGTGCCCATTCCAGTCATCACTTCTTAATGTTTCATATGGTCTTGCTGCCTAGGTGTGTGTCATTTTCAATAATAGATTTGAGTTTTGACTGCTTTTAAACCGCGTATGCATGCAGTCATGCAGTATCTACTTTTCATGCAGCTCTCCTCTGTGAGTCCTCTCTCCTGCTGCCTGTGCCTGTCATTGTTGACTTGTGTGGCTATGTCATAGTCTGCTGTGTGGCTATCCCACAGCCACCCACTTCCTTATCCATCCTGCTGCGGACAAGAACTAGGAGTGTGTTCTTGCCTGGGTGCCCTTAGCAACCGGCACGGAGCACAGAGCACAGGGGTGTTTCCCGGGGTGCACGAGCATGGGACTTGCGGGGATGCTAGGTCCTTGCAGGCCAGAGGTCCGGGTCCTTGCTTTGGAATCTTGTTTTCTCCTGTGGTAGCACCATTCCCTTATTACAGCTTGCCCAAGGTCACACAGCTGCTGAACTCTACCTCCCTTAGCCTTAAAGCCTGTTTGCTCTATCAGGCTGGGACCCCTACTTCCTTCCCAAACCCTGGGCTCTGGGCCCCCCCTTGGCTCATCCCAGCTGAGGGTCCCACCTTCCATGACCTGCTGAGAATCTGCCAGGGCTCTCAGATCAGGCCATTGTAGCCACTGTGGGCAGCTGCTGCTTCCTTTGTGCACCTGTGGAAACCATGGGCACCATGCAGGAACTGGAACTCTTGCCCCCAGGCCCTGCGCCAGTCACCATGGCAACCCCAGGGTGGGTGTTGCACCCTCAGTTGTCAGAGGAAGTCATTGAGGTTCAGAAAAGAGCGAGTTGGAGGCTGGAGGCTGGGTGGGCGAGAGGGAGAAGGAAGGCAGGAGGATGGGACGCTGGCTGGCCGGGGGGTGGGTGGATGCCTGCAGCAGAACTGAACCAAGACGGGCAGTGGGGAGCAGGCAGGGCTCCGGACTGGTTGCAAATCCAAGTGTCCCAGGCCTGGGGGTCTACAACCTGTGGTCCTCTCGGAACAGTGCTGGCACAACTGATTGGGTCCCTGCCATCCACATGGGAGACCTGCATTGAATTTCTAGCTCCCAGCTTTAGACTGGTCCAGCCCTCGCTGTTACAGTCATTTGGGGAATGAACCAATGGATGAGATGGTGGCTCACTCGTTCGCTTTCTCTCTCTCTCCCTCCTTCCCTCCCAAGTAAAATTTTAAACATTTTTAAAAGTATTTAAAGAAAAAACTTGTTCATGATTATTCATAGTAACATTTTTCATAATAGCCCCAAATTGGAAACAACTCAAAATATGTATCAATCGGTGCATGGCTAAGAAAATGTGGTATAGTCGGACACTGCGATCTTCTTTGGCGATACAGAGAAATGCCCTTGTGCTATGGGCTCCAGGAGTGGGGAACCTTTCTTCTGCCAAGGGCCGTGTGGATATTTATAGCATCATTCACAGGCCACACAAAATGATCAACTTAAATATTAGCCTGCTGTAGATTTATTGAATTTCCAGTCCTGCCTGTGGTTGCCCTGGCAGGACCGTGCCAAATGATTCCATGCGCCTGATACAGCCCGGATATTGCCCACTCCCGGACCTCGTGCTAAGTGACAGCAGCCAGACTCGAAAGGCCACACCCTGATTGATTCTGTTTGCATGAAATGCCCAGAATTGGCCACTCCAGAGAGACTGGAATCAGACGGGGGCCGTCCGAGCCTAAGGGAGAGGAGGGTGGGAGGGGACTGCCCATAGGTTTCTCCCGGGGGTGACGGAAGTGTTCAGAGATTAATTGCGGCTGTGGTTGCACAGCTGTGCCTGTCTCCCATCAGCGGCTGAGAATGTGCTCAGAGTGCGTGCGCGGGACATGGACTACACCTCAGTAAAGCTGACTGAAGAACCAGGGCGCCTCTAGCTACCGCCCAGTGTGCACCTGCCACACCAGACACGCGGCAGGACGCAGGAGTTCCGGCTGATTGTTACGCGGAAGCCCCAGCCACAAGCTGTGCTCCACCCCACAAGGCTTGAGAAGGTGGGGAGGGGTCCTTAGAGACACATGAGGCTGGGGGAGGATGATGCCAAAACAGGGACCCCAGGCCCTACCCTGAAGGCTCAGAAAGCCCTTGGTGCTTCCCCAAGGTCGTTGAAGGCCGCTTCCCACTCTGTGCCCAGCGCGGGATAACCCGGGGACGGGAGGCACTTGTGGCTTTAGCTGTCCGGGCCCCCCTAGACCTCCAGTTTCCCCAGTGCCAGCATCTGGGGAACAACCAGCGACCCTGCGGAAACAGCGTACGGCCACACGGCCCCTGATGGCAGGGAGGTGCTCTGGGAAGTGCCTTGTTGGTGGGTGTGCCAGTGTCAGAGTGTGCTGAACCAAGCCCAGCAGTGCAGGCCGGGCCCTCCCCGGGTCCTCTTGCTGCACTCAGTAGGGCATCCATGAGTGCCTGAGGCTGCTGCTGGCCTGGCCTGGCCTGGCGTGGCGCTGTGCTCTTTCAGGTAAGTAGGAGGAGTACACGCTAGTGATTTACGGTACCGGAAATGCACAAACCTGTAACATGGCTGTTCACCAGCACGATCCAGTCTGATGTGCTGTAATTGTGTGTGCTAAACTTTTTTTTTTTTTGACAGGCAGAGTTAGACAGTGAGAGAGAGAGACAGAGAGAAAGTCTTCCTTCCGTTGCTTCACCCCCCAAATGGCCGCTACGGTCAGCGTGCTGCGCCGATCTGAAGCCAGGAGCCAGGTGCTTCCTCCTGGTCTCCCATGCAGGTGCAGGGCCCAAGGACCTGGGTCATCCTCCACTGCACTCCCGGGCCACAGCAGAGAGTTGGACTGGAAGAGGGGCAACCGGGACAGAACCGGTGCCCCAACCGGGACTAGAACCCGGGGTGCCCGTGAGGCAGGCGGAGGATTAGCCAAGTGAGCTGCAGCGCTGGCCATGTGCTAAACTTTTACACAACAGGCAGTGCACACCGGCAGCCACACAATGAGTAATGTGCGACCCCAGGCCCTTATGGTGACTACAATGTCACCAGGTGATGGGGTTTTTTTTTTAGCCATGCTGTCATCTTTGTTTTACTTTTAAATATTTATATATTTGAAAGGCAGAGAGGCAAAGACACACACACACACACACACACACAGAGAGAGAGAGAGAGAGAGATCTTCCATCCACTGCTTCACTCCCCAAATGCCCGCAATAGCCAGGGCCACGCTGGGCCGGTCTAAAGCCAGGAGGCAGGGACTCCATCTGGATCTCTCACGTGTGTAGCCGGAACCCAAGTACTTAGGCCATCATCTGCTGCCTCCCAGGCACATCAGCAGGACCACAATGCACACAGGATAACCCAGGGACCACACATGCCCTGGTATAATCCTATGGAACCACTGCTGTCCTAGATTCGCAGTCCACTGTTGATGGAAACATCATTATGTGGCATGTGGCTATCTTGGCAATGGTCCCATGTGGATTTTTTCAATGGCTATAGTATATCCCATTATAAAGACAAGCCAAGATTTATGCATGGAGCCGGTGCTGTGGCGTACCAAGTAAAGCCGCTGCCTGCAGTGCCAGCATCCCATATGGGCTCTGGCTAAAGACCCGGCTACTCCACTTCCAATCCAGCTC